ATTTTCTTAAAATAAACAAAAACCAAAACAAAAAAATATTTTTAAGTTTACTTAGAAATTTTTAGGGTTTTAGACGTATTTTTCTCAATTCGCGCGCGTTCAATTTTCCCTTTCAATATATTTTTGTATCTGCTGATGGGATGTAATAGATTAAAATAGGACTTTATCGCTTTCTTTATTTTTTTCCCCATTTGAATATGTAAATACCCCCTCCCCAAAGCATTGTAATAGCGTAGGATTTAAATTCCCGCACTTTAAATTTCTGCAAGATATTAACTATTAGTAAGTTAGGCTTGTATGGAAAGATTAATAACAAAACGTTAGAAAACTAAACTCAAGACTAAAAATAATTAAACATAACACACATTGCACACATGCACCTCTAGGATACCCCACTTTGGTTGCGTTCGGAAATAAAACAGTCATGTCCCTCGAAACAGGGACGCTTTAGCAAAGACCCATAAATCAAAAGATCATAGTCCCTTGATAACCCTACAGTTTCCTTTCGGTAAATGATTTAGTCCCTAAACAAAATTGCTAAAGCGTTTCCACATGTTGCCTTTATGACTGTACGTCCCTTCGATTGTCCCTCAACATCCAACGATAGGGATACCTACTCACTAATAGTAGGATAGAAATGTCTAAAGAATAGGAGGAAAAGAAGGAACATTTTCGAGTACAAGTAGATAGTTGTTAGATGCTTGCTCAAAAACAAACTTTTTTGCACTTACACAAAACATTTCAAAAACATTCATTTTGTCAACACTCTTGAGGACTGATACAAGAGTTATCATAAAGCGAATCGCCGCACTAAGGCATTTTCAAAACTACTTTTTTTCAAAAAAAAACACAAACCACAAGGTATTTAAAAAATGAGTTAATCATCTAAGAGCCCGTAGAAAACTACGGATGGAAAGGGTGCTAACACCTTCCCTTTCCATAATCTACTCCCTTACTCAGAAAACTCTTGAAAGGTCTTTTTTTGTTCTTTTCACCCTTTCCTTTGTTGGATAAAAGAAAAGTCGGTGGCGACTCTTGCTTACCACAATATTTGCGAATACAAATGCAAAACCAGTATAACAGTCGGTTCTGCCACCGTATCACAGAACTGACGACTCTGCTGGGGACAAATAAAAAGTGGGGTTACCTTAGAGTTAGTTCATTTTAAAACTGTTTTAATTGCTTGCTTTGTATGCTTTATATTTGGAAGGTTTGTTTGGGTTGTTACTATAGATCCTACACTCGGATCTGGGGCACCTTTTAGGTAAGTAGCAATAGATCATGGAAACTGTGAGGGGTATACCGACACGGTTGAAGCAATAGCTACATTGATGTGACACTTTGGTTGGTACCGGTAGCCCTTGAGTAGTCAAGGAGAATACGGGGCTGCTGCATGATGTCATGAAGCATCAACTGGCCTTAGAACCTTTAATTGAACGACTTGGCCATTAGGAAGTAGTGAGATAGCCGTCTTTGGTATAGCCCAAAGTCGGTTGATACTCGATACTACACTCATTATGATTTGACTCCCGAATTTTGTTTGGTGGTAAGTCAGTTGGAGATCGAAACGAAACTTGTGGAAAAGATCAGTGATATTTGAGATCCCTTAGAACCGGATTACTTTCTAGGACAAGTTGAACCAACTAAACTTCAAGAGTGTACTTACCTTAAAACCCATGCAAGCATTAAACCCAAGGTCTTTGTGTGATTTGCTTGTGCTTGCTATATTTTTATAATCATGATATCATAACATCATAACATAGCATATCATACTAACCATTTCAAGGATTTTTAGGACTTATCTTTGTGTTGTTCTGTAGGACATGGCATCCACTCGCAGGAATACTATCCAAGTTAACCTCATAAGGGTACCTCCTCAACTCAAGGAATTAGCATCAAGGGTTCCTGAGAGCTCTCCATTCACTGAAAGACATGGCTGACTTCTCAATCTGGTCACCTCAAGCCCTAATGAAGAAATATTGAAGGTGCTCTTTCAATTCTTCGACCCTTTACATCACTGCTTCACCTTTCCTGATTACCAATTGGTGCCTACTATGGAGGAGTTTTCTCAATTATTGAGAGTAACCATCCTTAATCAATTACCATTCAACGGTATGGAAAAGGACCCAAAACCTGAGGAGATTGCTCAAGCTCGGTCTTTACAACGGTCAGATGTCGTGGCAAATTGGGAAACAAGAAGAGGCGTCAAAGGTTTTCTAGCTAAGTTTCTATTTGAGAAGGCTCACCATTTTTAGGATACCCTGTATTTACAAGCTTTTGAAGAAGTGTTGGCCCTTCTCATCTATGGGATGGTACTATTTCCTAATCCGGACCAACTCATAGATGTGAACACTGTCAAGGTTTTTCTGTCTCACAATTCGGTGCCTACTTTACTTGGAGACATTATACACTCTATGCATACTCGCACTGTAAAGAGAAGAGGGACTCTTATGTGTTGCACTCCTTTGTTGGCTAGGTGGTTTATTTCACACCTACCTCGATTTGTTTTAAAGAATGAGCAGGGCATGAGTTGGTCTAATAGGTTGATGTCCCTCACACATTCAGATATTCATTGGTGTTATCGATCCTTGGAGAATGTTACCATCATCGGTCGTTGTGGGGAATTCCTTAATGTCCCTCTCCTAGGATTTAGGGGTGGAATCACTTATAATCCTTGTTTGGCGTTGCAACAGTTTAGGTATGCTAGGAGGGATGGTCCTCATGATGTATTGGTTCAAGGAATTGTGTTCAACTGTGAGGATGATGTTCAAGGTTACCGTCAGAGGTTCATACGAGCTTGGGGCATGGTAAACAAAGTGGATAGCAAGACATTGAGTCATAAGAACTCCATCCCTTTGGAGCCTTATTTTAAGTGGGTACGAGCATGCTCTCAAAATCTTATGATGCCTTATCCTGCCATCCTACCTATCATAATGGAACTTGTTGCTGATGAAGAGGTACCTTATACCATTCTCCAACCTGACATGATGACTACTCTCGAGGAGTTGCAAAGATCTTGGATCCAGCTCAAAGAGGAGCGAGATACCTTTGAAGCCCAGTTATATGCAAGCGAGAAAAAGGCTTTGGAGCTTACAAGACAACTGCATGAAGAACAGAGTTTGAACGCCTATATTACACCAAAGAGGATGCGCCCATGGGAAGCCTGAGTCCTGTCTGATTTAGGAGTTTTCTTTTATCTTTGTTTCTTCTATTGTAAAGCCCAAAAGGAATATTTGTAACGATTCAAACTATTGAAGGCAATTAATGTTTGTTCTTTTTTTGGATAAGCAAATTTAAGATCTTAAAAGTTCTTGAAAACATTGCATAAGCATATCATGAATTTCATCGCATAAGCAGGTATTCCAAGATAGGTTTCTTATTCTTTTCGCTGTTTATTTCAGCAAAAGAAATGGCTCTCAAACAGACAGTGAAGGACCTCTAAGCTCAAAACATTCAGTTTCAGCAAATGTTCCTGGCTCTGGCCCAGGGGCAAGAAGATCTGAAAGCTTTAATCCTCAAAGAGAAGACCAAGAAGCCAAAGAAACCAGCTGGTGTAGTGAATCTGGGAAGAAGGATCAGAGAACCGGTCAAGCGAGCTATAGATTTTTCAACCCCGTCAAATGAGGGGGACAATTAAGAAGAGAAGCCAATGGAAGAAAACAACAAACCAGGGTCTGAGGAAAAGGAACCTGACTATTATGAGGAGCATCATCCTTCTGCTGATGATAAATACAAACAGCTGGAGGATCGGCTCAATGCTATGGAGATCCAGAGGATACCTGGGCTTGATTTTGAGGAGCTAGGACTGATTTCAGGGGTGGTCATACCGCAAAAATTCAAGGTCCCTACATTTGCTAAGTACGACGGTGTCTCTTTTCCTAAGCTGCATTTAAGGTCGTATGTCAGGAAGATTCAACCCCAAACTACTGACAGGAATCTGTGGGTCCACTTCTTCTAGGAAAGTTTGGCAGGAACTCAGCTGGAATGGTTCTATCAACTAGAGAGAACCAGCATTCGCAATTGGGAAGATTTGGCTACTGCTTTCTACAAGCAGTATCAATATAATGCTAACCTCGCCCCGACCCATAAACAGTTGCAAAGTATGTTTATGGGTTCTGGCGAGGGTTTTAAATATTATACCCAAAAGTGGAGAGACCTTGCGGGAAGAGTCCAGACTCTGTTGTCTGATAGGGAGTTGGTTGACATGTTCTTAGGCACGTTGTCTGGTCCTTTCTTTAACCATCTAATTGGAAGTTTGTCTGTTGGGTTCACTGAATTGATCTTGATTGGTGAACGGGTAGAGGTTAGCCTCAAAAGTCATTATGCCAAAATTGAATTTAGACAGCGCCACATAGACAGCGCTTATGCCCTAAGCGCTGCTATAGGTTTTCAGAAGAAAAAAAATCAAAAATTTAGAGTAAGCGCTGCTAAAGGTATACCTTAGACAGCGCTTACTAAAAGCGCTGCTAAAGGCTTACCATAGACAGCGCTTCCTTTCCCTAAGCGCTGCTATAGGTTTTCAATAAAAATAAAAAATAAAAATAAGAATAAGCGCAGCTAAAGGGTATACCTTAGACAGCGCTTACCAAAAGCGCTGCTAAAGGCTTTACCATAGCCAGCGCTTCCTTTCTCTAAGCGCTGCTATAGGTTTTCAATAAAATAAAAAATAAAAAAAATAAGAATAAGCGTTGCTAAAGGGTATACCTTAGACAACGCTTACTAAAAGCGCTGTTAAAGGTGTGATAAAGGGTATACCTTAGACAGCGCTTTCAAGAAGCGCTGCTAAAGGCATTACACTAAAGCGCTGCTAAAGCCTAAAGCGCTGCTAAAGGTAATACCTTTAGCAGCGCTTCTTGAAAGCGCTGTCTAAGGTAATTAAATAATTTCTAAATCCCTAAATTGGTTATCAGAAACCCCACTTTATACAAACGAAACCCCACACACGCAACTGTTCATCTTCGTCTAACTCGTCTCCTCCCTCCTCACCGTCCAACCGTGGTTCATCTTCTTCTCCAACTCCCTCCCCACACATGCAACTGTTCATCTTCGTCTAACTCGTTATATCGTTGCAAGCTTCGAATTCTCCAGTTATACGAGGCACGTGGTTCATCTTCTTCTCCAACTCGCTTCGGATTCGTTACCACCATCTCCTCGTGAAGAAGAAGTTTCACAAAACCAGTTTCACTATAAGGTAAAATTTCTTCCCATATCCTTCCACAACTTCATTCTCTTATCTAAGGTATTCATATCATACATTAACAGTATAAAGAGACATGAAACCTTTATGTACCCTTAGCTTTGTTTCAAACATTTCTTTCTTTCCTTTTTCATGGGCGTGAGAATCTAAAACAAAGAAAGAAAGATCTATGTCCTATACCTGACATATATAGCAGAAGTAAAGAGGTTTTCACTGTATTGTGTATTGTATTGTATTGTATTCTACTGTGTGTGTACATTACATTACACACTCATCAATGATTATTGTTTCTATGCTTTTCTAATTAGGTGTTGTTTAAATAGTTATATTTGGAGGTTATTTTGTAGTTAATGCATTGATTAGGTGAATTGTTTTTGGCATTTTTTATGGTAAGACAAGATCGAAGGACACTGCAATGTTACTGTTTATCTAAACGATATTTTATGCATATACGACACATGAATTGTGGCTTTTACATTCTCTATCTTTTTCTTTTCAGATGCTGTGATGCTTTTTTCTTTTTAATGATCATTGTACTGTGTATTTTGCATTACCTTTTTTGTATAGTTTGTTAATTAACTTCATAGATTCCAACATGGATGAACTGGTCTGAACATGATCTAACCCCAATCTTCACTTTATTCTCATCCCATTTTATTCCTTATATTAATTGCATTATGCTGCTTTATTCTTATTTCACTAAGAATTACCAGACTTGGGTTCATGCTATTGAGGCGGGAGATCACCTCTCTGCACTTTCCCATTTTATTTATCCCCCTAATATTCCAAGAAATTATCATGATATTAGGGGGTTGCTACCACCAGGATCATCCCAAAATTCTAGTGTTTTAAAGTAATTATAACAACTAATGTCCTCTATTATGTTAAGTTTAGAGTCACACATAACACGCTTACCTTTCTTATAGTTTCTAGTCACTTGTATCCAAGGAGGCAACCACAGGCACCTTCACTATAACTGAGGTTTTGCAATCACACTTCCTATTTTCCCAAGGATCTTTTCTTCCAACAAATGCAATGGAAGTTGAGGTAGTTTAAACCAAATTGGTAGTATTCTCAGACTATCCCTTTTAAAATTAAAATCATAGCTCAAATCCCTCAGAATCATAGGAACATTGAAAATAATGTAGGGTCCTTTCGTAAGTACCTTCTCTTTATCCCCTATGGAAGTAAATCTCATAATAAAATACCTTTCTTTATTATAGTAGATGTTTGACAGTTGAATGAAGTTCCAGGCTCTTGTCATATACTGCTTTATCCCGTGCATACTCACGTCTTTTCTCAGGGCATACATACATAGAGATCCCATATTTCAGCCATTAGATTATTAAACAAAAAAAATGTAATAATAACTAATTATAGAGTAATACATCTAGAAAATGAGGTTTGAACATACCAACACCAAGTGCTGTGATTTCAAACATAGATGAGGAGAGAATAAGACACACAAGTAGAAGAGCTGCAAATGCTGGCTTCATCTTACTATCAGAGAGAAATATAGAGAACAGATTTAATTAATATAACTATATCACTATGTTATGTGAAAATTAACTAGAGTGACACTCACTAGAAGAGAGATAAGAGAAATTCAGAGTCTTATGTGGTTGAGATGTGTGAGTGTGAACAAGTGAGTGGGATTATTTATAGTACAAAATGGGTAGATGAAAATGTAGGAAGGTAGATATAGGTGTCGATTTAACGGATCTGAGCTCAAATATATAGTGGAGTAAACTTCCGATACGGTAGGGTGGAGTGGATCTGCAAAATTATTATGTTCAAGTAAGTAATAGTAAAAAATAACACAAATCATGAATCTTCGAATGAGTTCACAACTAAGCTAATGTCTCTAAAATTGTAACGTTGACGATCATTGATTGAATATGTTATAGGACCACAACAATCCTCATTTCTAGAATAGTTCTAATCACATGTTTGATTTTTGTTGACAACACAGACTCTTTAAATTCATTGTACTCCCACCACATTATACCTTTTTGTGCCCTAATTAGTGTTTTTGTTTAACTTAGATAATAGTTAAAACCATGGATAAAAAATGGATGTGTGCCGATCAATTGTCAAAAGAGTACGAGAATGGGGTATTAGAGTTTGTTAAGTTTGCTGTTGAACACGCTGAAGACCCGAATAGAATGAAATGCCCTTGCTTGGGTTGTTGTTATGTGGGTCGAGTTGACGCAGATGGATTGAAATCGCATTTACTAATGCGCGGAATTGATCGAAGTTATACGTGTTGGATATTTCATGGTGAGAAAAGCATCGAGAATGTTGAACCGGGGGTGAAAAGTAATGCGACCTATGTTTCGTACGACAATGCCACGGATACATATGATTGTGATCGGGTTGAAGAGATTGCAGAAGCACTTGAATAAGATCTTCAAGATTGTCCAAAAATGTTTGAGAGGTTGGTAAGCGATGCGGAGAAACCGTTGTATAAAGATTGCCCCAAATTCACAAGATTGTCTGCGGTATTAAAATTGTACAACTTAAAGGCGCGTAATGGATGGTCAGATAAAAGTTTCACACAGTTATTATCCCTTTTGAGAGATATGCTTCCTGAGGATAATGTTCTTCCTAATCGAACCTACGAGGCCAAAAAAATGTTGTGCTCTATTGGCATGAGCTATGATAAGATACATGCATGTCTAAATGATTGTATTTTGTTTCGAAACGAATATGCATCGTTGAATGAGTGCCCAAAGTGCGGTTTATCTCGATATAAGAAAAAATTATCTCCAGCGAAAGTCTTATGGTATTTTCCTATTATTCTGAGATTTAGACGCATGTTTCGTAGTGAAACCGATGCTAGACACTTGACTTGGCATGCAGATGAAAGAATTATCGATGGAAAGTTTCGACATCCGGAAGATGCACCACAGTGGAAGAAAATTGATAATGATTATCCTGATTTTGGAGGAGAAACAAGAAACCTTCGCTTGGCATTATCTACGGATGGAATGAACCCGCATGGTCTTCAAAGTATCTCACATTCCACATGGCCTGTGATTCTTATGATTTATAACCTACCTCCATGGCTATGTATGAAGCGTAAGTACATGATGTTATCTATGTTAATTTCTGGGCCTAAACAACCAGGGAATGACATAGATGTATACTTGAAACCTTTAATCAAAGATTTGAAGATTTTGTGGGGGAACGGTGTGGAGGTTTATGATGGATATAGGAAAGAAAGTTTCAATTTGAGGGCGATGTTGTTTGGCATAATTAACGATTTTCCAGCATATGGAAATCTATCCGGGTATAGCATTAAAGGTGAAAAAGTGTGTCCTGTCTGTGAAGATGGAACCGATACGACACGATTGAAACTTTGTCAAAAGAATGTCTTTCTCGGTCATCATAGATTCTTAAATTCAAAACATCAATATCGTGGATGGAGAAAAGCGTTCAATGGAAATACAGAACAACGTAGAGCTCCACCTGGATTGACAGGTGATCAAATTTGTGAAAAGGTGAAAGATGTGAGTATTCAGTTTGGCAAGCCTTTTGCATATAAAGTTGTCACAGGTGGGTGGAAGAAGAGGTCAATTTTTTTTGAATTTCCATATTGGAAATCTTTGTACGTAAGACATTTTCTTGATGTTATGCATATTGAAAAAAAATGTATTTGAAAGTGTTATTGGTACGTTACTCAATATAAAAGGAAAGTCTAAGGATGGCCTTAAAGCAAGAGAGGACATGGTAGAGATGGGAATAAGAACTGAATTAGGACCCGTGAAGAAAGGAAGACGAACATATCTACCACCTGCTTCTTATACTCTATCTAGAAAGGAAAAGAAAATATTGTGTAAGTTTCTGAGTGAAGTTAAAGTTCCAGAAGGTTACTCCTCAGACATTAGAAGACTCGTGTCCATGAAAGACCTCAAGTTAAAGAGTCTGAAGACACATGATTGCCATGTCATAATGGAACATTTTCTACCAATAGGTATACGTTCTATTTTGCCAGAAAAAGTAAGAAGCGCTATAACTAAATTGTGTTTTTTTTCAGGTCAATTTGTAGTAAGGTGATCGATCCTGATATCTTACCAGTATTACAAAAAGAAACCGTTATTACTCTGTGTGACCTTGAAATATATTTTCCTCCATCATTTTTTGACATTATGGCACATCTTGTTGTTCATCTTGTGAAAGAGACACAATTGTGTGGACCAGCTTATATGAGATGGATGTACCCTGTTGAACGTTATATGAAAATATTAAAAGGGTACGTGAAAAACCGAAGTCGTCCATAGGGTTGTATCGTTGAGCGATACGTTGTTGAAGAAGCGGTTGAGTTTTGTACTGATTTTTTATCCAATGTGCAATCCATTGGACTCCTCAAATCTCATTTTTTCGAAAAAAAAGAAGGTAAAAAATCAATTGGAAATGAAATTGTGACAGTATCAAGGGATGAACGGGATCAAGTGCATTTGTATGTTCTGCATAATGACACTGAGGTTGAGCCGTTTGTTTAAATGCACAAGGCTATACTCTGAGGTGAGAATCAAAGTAGAAATGAAAATTGGATAGTACGAGAGCACAATCAAAGTTTTATACAGTGGTTTAAGGATCATATATATTCAAAGTTTCATTCAGATCCCGCTTCAATATCAGACAGGTTGAGATGTTTGGCATATGGTCCAAGTTCGATTATGTTCTCTTATAGAGGATACGGAATTAATGGATACACATTTTATACCAAAGAACAAGATGATAAAAGTACCATGCAAAATAGTGGTGTCACGGTGGTATGTGAAGCAATGCACATTTCTGGTATGAAGGACTTAAACCCCAAATATGAAAATTTGTCATATTTTGGGGTTATCAATCACATCTGGGTGTTTGATTACGAGAAGTTTCAGATTCCTATCTTTGGTTGCAAGTGGGTACATACTAGTGGCATACGAATGGATAAGTCAGGGTTTTTGCAAGTGGATCTTAGTAGGGTGGGGTATAAAGATGAGCCTTTTATTCTAGCCTCTCAAGCTAAACAAGTGTTCTATGTCACAGACCCGAAGAGTACGAAATGGTCTATAGTGCTTTTATCTAACAAAGTGATTGATGATAAAAGTGTGGATCAAGTTGATGTTGATGTTGAGAATGAGTCGTATATTAGAAACGATCGAGATGATGATACTACAGCGGATGAATCATATATCAGAAAAGATCATGATGAGGGAATTTGGATCAATCCCTCTGTCCGCGTTCTTAAGAGACAAGTAATTCGGAATCCAACCAAGAAAAGAAAGAGATGTTAGTGAAAGAAGTAATATATATTCCTCCATACCTGTTAACACTTAGCAAACTTCTAATAAATTTTATATTTGTCATTTTATATACTCAATTGATATTTGTCATTTTATATACTCAATTGATATTTGTCATTTTATATACTCAATTGATATTTGTCATTTTATATACTCAGTTGATATTTGTCATTTTATATACTGAATAGATATTTGGAATTATATATTTGGAATTAAATATTTGTCATTAGATACTAATGTTTTTCTTTATTACAGGTTAGATGGCTAGTAACGAGGAGCACCCTCATGATGATTCCATTAATGATGGAGACAATGATGGAGAAAAATCCAGTAAGGGAGTGGAAAAAGAAATAAAAAGAGGAAAAACTATTATGAAGAATATCATGCGTGATAGAGATAGGGGTATAAAATATGATGTGCATTGGAGTCCAAATGACCAATTAATTGAGCCTAACGGTTCTAAATTGACAAGTTACACTGGCACACTTGTAAGGAGAGAAATTCCAATAACTTGTGTTGAGTGGAGAGATGATAAGCTGAATGATGCTAAAAACAAAATCTGGAGTGAGATACAGGTGCTTTAAATTACGATTATGTACTTTAAATTATGTCTTTAAATTACTTATACTAACGCACTTTGTGTATGTTTTTTGTAGAGGTCTTTCAACATTGATGACAAAAGAAAAGATTATTGTCTTGGATTGGCCGGCAAAATACTAAGAGGGTTTAGAACATATTTAAACAGAAAATATCTTAGAGATGCCGAAAAAAAATTTGTTGATGCAGAGCGTCCAGCAGAATATGCGGATGTGATTTTAGTTAAAGAATGGGATGTTTTTAAAGCCAAACGGAAAACCCCAAAATTTCAGAGTGTAAGTGAAGTAAATCGTCTAAGAGCATCATCTCCCGCATATCCATACAAAAAAGGGCGTTTGGGATATGCACGATTAGAATAAAAAATAGTAAGTATTTACAAATTGCAATGATATACTTGTTCATTAATAGTTATAACTGAGCTTATTTTTTGTGTTAATGTGTAGTTAAAATAGGAAAGTAGTTCAGAAACATCTCTTTCGGAGCATGTTTTGTGGAAGGCTGCCCGTGTGGGTAAGTATGGAGTTCTTAAAGAAGATGTACAACAAATTTTTGAAAAATGCGTAAGTATATATAACATTAATTCTAATTAAATCAAAATTTTA